AGATAATTTGGATAAGAAATTAGAGGAAAAGGTTAGCAAAATCAGATATGGGATGGAAGAAAAATTCGCCACCATAGAGGATAAGTTTTCTTTTATGGAGAACTGAATGGATGACCGATTCAAGAGTATGCGAGAAATTTAAGGAATGATAAAGAAGCTTATTGAGATGCAATCCAAGTCCCCGCTGGCGGTCCAACTTACAAATCCTACCCAAGGGTTGACTGGATATTTATTAGCTAAATCGAAAGGAAATGAGATCGAATGCGAGGATCATGAGGAGGAAAACATTCACCATCACGAACCCCCTCTTAAGGCTCTGATTAGGGGTGGATTAGAGATTTCTGATGGAAGCGGCTGGACCGAAACATGGGTAAGAGATTATGCAAGAGGTATGGAGGAGCGCGAAGAAGAAAGGATAGAAACATGGAGGGGATATGACTATGATCAAAGGAGGCAGTTTTACCCTCAAAAAATGAAGGAAAACAAAAAAGAGAAATAAAGAGTTGAAGATGCAGATCTTAGAAGGGGGAAAACGCACATTGGTGGGTATATCAGGTGGAGCGATGCTTTGCAGTGAAGGGGTTAGATAGAAGGAGAAACTCATGGCAACGAGGTGATGTTTGGAAGAAAAAGCTCTAGCCTGGTTTCAGTGGAGGGAGGCTAGATACCTGATCCATTCGTGGGAAGAATTTAAGGATTGTTTGCTGAAATATTTCCAAGCAATTTAGGACGGAGAATACACAAGAAATTCTATGCTTTGACTCCAGAGGGGACTGTCAAGGAATACAGGAAGGATTTGAGCTATGTAGGGACAGCTGAAGGGGTTTCTGAATCGGGATTGGAGGGAAATTTTATGAAAATGACTAAAGCTCAACATACGAGTATCACTCTGACTATTGAGAAAGCGGGGATTGAGGAAGATGATAGAGGACAAAAATCAGATGAAGAAGGCAAACAGGAGCAACACATATGGAAGATTATACCAAACTACTACAACCACGAAAATACCAAATGCTCAAAAAGTGGAAGTCCAGAAGGGGGTTGCATGAGACACGAATAATGAATCATGATTGGAAGCAACACGCAAGTGTCTTACAGAGACAGAGATTCAGGAGAAGCGAGCCAATAAATTATGTTTTCAGTGTGATGAGAAGTTTACCCCAAGACACCATTGCAGGGATAAAAAATTATAAGTTATCATAGTGCATGACGATGAAGCAGAGAATAAAAAATAGAAGCAATTTTGGGGGATGAACACTCACTTCTTCCAACCTTGAAGATAAGGTGCCTTTTGGGAAAGTAGTATTGTTACGTTAGCGTCTAGCCTAATGACAAATTTATCCTTTGTAGGTCTAAGAGCAGTTTAGTCATTTAACATCATCATTATTATTACAACTATAATAATAATAATACTTATTATTATTATTGGGTATAAATAAGTTTATTATGTCTAAGATTAGCTTTATGAATGAGATTCAGCTCTGAGTCTTAGATTTAGGATTTGAGAGAGATTTCCAACATCTCAAATTGTAGGAATTGGGAGAGATCGCCCACCACTCAAATTGTAGGTATTTATCATTATAATCTTGTTGAGTTGTTGGGATTATTGAAGGAAAATTGTTCTTGCCCTATTTCTGTGAAAAAACATATCGACTTTGACACTAGATCGTATCAGGCAACTCTTGTGGAAATGGTGACAAAGAATGTTACCCAGGCCCTACATGCTAGTATTGTAGCTCCAATCGCACAGGTATTCCAGGCGATGCAACAACCCATGCAACCAGCACCGCAAACAATTCCACTGATGCCACTAGTGCCACCGTGGAAGCTCAACCGAACCAAACAACAGTGAAGGATAAAAGAAATGCCATGGATCGAGTAATGAACCACTTTCTAAAGACACGCCCTCCTGCCTTCAACGACATGACAAGTCTAATCGAGTTGGAAGGATAGCTACATGATATCAAAAAGAGAGTTTGAGGTATATAGTACTCTGAAGACCGCAAAGTGGACATTGCTATATTCCAACTTCGTGAAGGGGTGGGAGAGTTACTGCCACAATACATTTGGAATTGATGCAATAGTCTTTTGGGCTGATTTCGAGTGATTATTTCTAGAGCAGTATTTCCCAATGATGCACCGTGCCAAGCTGTGAACGATATGAAGAAACTGGAGCAAGGACCAAAGACCGTTTGTGAGTATGATACTCAATTTGCAAGAATCGTTAGATTTGTCCCTTCGAGAGGCCAGCATGAGAATTAGAAGATTTACCATCTATTTTTTGGCCTACGAGAAGACATTTGGAAGAGATTCTCTATTGTTGAATGTACTATCTATACAGAGTTGGTGGACTGAGCTATATATCCCGAGTTAGACCTGAATGAGTGTGAAGAAAATGCCCGAAAAATGAATGAACATAGAAAATCAAGTAGGGCCATTGAAGCACCAGTGAGATAAACTGAAGAGTGATTCTAATTACCCTCACTGCGAGTAAAGAGACCCTGAGCCTTGCAACCTAACCATTGACAAGTGTTACAATTGTTATAATCCTAATCATAAAATTAACGATTGTCTTCCTAAGACCCAAACTCAGCCAGAGAAAATATGGGGAGTAACTCAAGTAGTATAAGAATGTGTGAAATAAATCTAATAAAAGTCAACACTAGAAATAAAATCACAAAAGACAGACAAGCAAATATTATTTTCAGCCTCAACATCAGCTGCAATAAGTGATGGTATCTCAGTCATATTAGTCACGTCCTCCTAGAGTGCAACACCAACAACACTACCAATGGTCACCGATGTATCAACCTCCATCAATGGTGCAGTACCAGTCTCAGTGGCCTCAGGCTCTAAAGCAACCCAGGCATGCAATTTCACCTCGAGCATTTGTTATGATACAACAAGAAGCCCATGAAGCCTCTGACGTGTTGACGGAATAATCTCTATTTCTTTTTTTTTTAACAACCAACAAGAGTATTGTTTGATTTTAGGACATCACATTCATTAATGTCATACAAATTTGCATCAAATATATGAATTTATTCATTAAATTTTTGTCTATAAATTCGTATGTCATCTGACTTATCTTTGAGTATCACTCAGTGGATTCGTGATTGCAATATTATTGTTAATGATACGTATATGTCTATTGCACTTATAGTATTCTCTCTAATTGAGTTTGATTTAATATTATTATGAATTTAAATATCAAATTCTTTTAGGAGGTGGTATGTAAGCATCGTGAATCACCTTCGTTAATCCTGTGTTGAACTTTTCCACCGCCTTCCCGATCAAGCCCCGATAATCATGTGAGATTCATTTCTTTTTGTTCTTTTTCTAGCGATCTCTTTGTTGTGCCATGCCTTTTGTGTCTGCAACATCAGCCGCAATAAGTGCTGGTATCTCAGTCATATCAGTCACGTCCTCCTAGAGTGCAACACCAACAACACTACCAACGGTTACCAATGTATTAACCCCCATCAATGGTGCAGTACCAGTCTCAGTGACCTCAAGCTCTAGAGCAGCCCAGGCATGCAATTTCATCTCGAGCATTTGTTATGATACAACAAGAAGCCCATGAAGCCTCTGACGTGTTGACGGGTATAATCTCTATTTCTTTTTTTTGTAACCAACAAGAATATTGTTTGATTCTAGGACATCACATTCAACAATGTCATACAAATTTGCATCAAACATATGAATTTATTCATTAATTTTTTATCTATCAATTAGTATGTCATCTGACTTATCTTTGAATGTCACTCAGTGGATTCGTGATTGCGATATTATTGTTAATGATATGTATATGTCTATTGCACTTATAGTATTCTCTCTAATCGAGTTTAATTTAATATTATGTATGAATTTAAAGACCAAATTTTTTTAAGGGGGGTAGTATGTAAGCATCGTGAATTACCTCCGTTAATGCTGTGTTGAACTTTTCCACCGTCTTCCCGATCAAGCCCCGATAATCATGTGAGATTCAGTTCTTTTTTGTTCTTTTTCTTGTGATCTCTTTGTTGTGTCATGCCTTTTGTGTGCGCAAGTTCTTTCCTTCCAAATCATATCTTCTTGTCGCCTTCCCGATTTGGGAGATCATTTTTTGGTTTGGGTAGATATTTTGCTATTATCAGTTCAGTTTTGTTTTCCATCATTTTTTTGTTTTTCTTTTTGTTGTATTAGTTGCTAAACTTATGGAATGAAATATAATTTATCTTTTATTGCTTATTTTCTTTGTTTTCACACTATATTTTCTTTTGAGAATACAAAATAGATTCAAATCATTTCATTTTGTCCTATATTGATGAGCCTTCCGGACCCGGGGTGTGACAATCACCACTCTTAAATTTTTTATTGCAACCACTCTCATCATTATCAACACTCATATCAAACATTGTTGCCGTGCTAAGATCCAACAGTCTAGAAGTAGAAGCTACACAAATTAGCACCGATCAATGTATACCACTCACCATGTCGATCGGGCTCTCATTATCATCACCAATAAATGTCCAACATTGCACCACAAATAAATATTAAATCACCTTCAAGGCATTATTAAGCAAACATTCACAATTGATTGTAGGGGGTGAACTTCTCTATTCAAACTTCACTCATAATGAATTCTATCAATTGGGATAAGCCTCAAGATTTTGCCTCCGCGTTAAAGAGAAAAAAATTATTGTCTCTTAAACTGCATATGTGCCTGAAATCTAGAAGATAATCGGATTTCTCCGTTGATCACCTATTTTGTAAGAAGTTGAGATCCACAAAATACTCATTTGTCAGTCTATAACAACTTGAATGTTTGGCATAATTATTTAAAATATTTAAAAACCTATGATAGTTAGTACAGGATTGCTAGATGCAGCAAGTTTTCTTACAAAATCCCCTAAAATAAACAATCAAACAACTTAATTATCGAGATCCTTGATAGGCATCCCAGGGAAATCCATGTTAAGTAAAAGCCCCAACAGCGTCACACAAAATAAATGATTTACCTGGAACAGATTGGTAGCCATGGGGATAGTGGGTCTGGTCGGGATGCGACGGATAACCAGAGGCACCCGGCGGTGGAACCGGTTGCGGAAACCCCATCGCCGGCGGCTGCGAACTCACACTTTGGAACGTCCCGTACTGAGGAGCAGACTGATGCTGCTCGTGATGATGGTGAAACGGGTTGTGGTGGGGGTGATGATGATGATGATCGCCGCTCCCTCCATCGTTCCCTTTCCACTTCTCGTCACTCATCTCTCTCTCTCTCTCTCTCTCTCGCTCTCGCGTCTCGCAGATCTCGTAGAACGCTCGTTGACCGACAGGGCATTGAGATATATTTTACGATTTATCTTTTAAGAAAAAGGGGTAATCGACAATTCACTAAAAGTTTTATTGTTTATAAAATTAACATCCAATTCATTTATTTGAATTATCAAAATAATACATTTTTATGTGTCACAATTAAATTATTGGAAATTTGATAAAATTAAAAATATGAGTTAAAATTTTGCTCTAAATTTTGATATTTAAGTGAAAATTTGATTAATGGATATAAAAATACTAATTTTGTAAATAATAAAATTTCAAGTGCTATAATGATATTAACCCAATTATAAAAAAACACAAACAACAAGGGCTCATCAGTTTAGTTTTTTCTTTAAAATAAATAAATAAAATAGTATTTAAATATAAATTTATTCTCACTATTTTTTTGTTGTTTGGGTTATAGTTGTCTGTGTGGATTGGTGGTTAATTGCTCAATTGTTGTTTATATTTTGTTGTTGGTGATTCTTCTGTTTGGTTCTATTTTTTTTTAGTTGTTATTTTTATCTATAGAAGCATTTTTGTTGCTTCTATTAGGTGTTATTTTTGTTGGGGTGTTATCTGATGGATTCGATGTTTATCTTCTGTTTCCTTTTGTATAGTGTTTTTGTTTCTGTTTTAGATTGTTTTGGGTTGAGTTGTCCCTTTTTATTTATATGATAAAGCTGGGTGTGATCCTTATTTTTTCTAAAAAAAATCCTCACAAATTTTCTTGATATCACGTCTTTAATAAAACATTTAGTTTTCATGAATCTAAATAATTTATATTTTTATTTAAAGATCTTTAATTTTGATATGTCAATAAAATTTATCATTTGTCAGGAAACTTAAAATGAACATCACAAATCCTAAATTATTTTGAAATAACAAAGATCGAATCAAATTTTGATTTCAGCAAACTTACAGTCAAATTGACCAGCTCGATCGGAAAAACAAATTGACACCAAATTTTGTCCAATCTGATTCAAATCAAGTCCTAATCAAGTCGTTAAGCTATTTTTGGAAACATCTAGTGCCCAATTAGAAGGTCAAACGGTTCTGAATCTGTAGGAGCAGACCACCGTTGATCACCACTCGTCAGTAATCTTCTACCACCATCAGCTATCACACACTCTATGTGGAGAAATTACTTAATGAGTCACAACGTGCGTTGTTGAATCTTAACGTACATTGCAGAATAGTGAATCATCTAGCATAATAGTATGTTGTCTAGTACACCATGCAACGATGCACACCACATTCGATGCTACAAAATACCTTGAATATGATGTGACATCGCATCCAAAGATGATTTAACAATGTACTTCGAATATGATGCAATGACGCACCTCGTAACAACTACTTATAATCATCATACTTAGAATACATTAACTTTTTTCGTATTTCTAAAGTTGTCTCCTTGTAGCTTACCACTATGGCTTAGGTGACCAAATATGACATACATGGTCCACAACTTATACAACTCCAAAATCTGTCCTTTTGAGACCTATGGACATTATCTCAACTCATGTAGCTCCCACTTTGGTCTTTTTGGCCTATGGACATTATCACAGCTCGTTCAACTTCCAATTTTGGCCTTTGTGGCCCACAAACATTATTATAGTTTGTGCAACACTCAACTTCAACCTTATGACCTACAAACATTATCATAGCTCATGTGGCTCCAAACTCTGGCCTCTACAACCTACAGATGTTATCATAGCTGGCGTAACTCCCAACTTCGGCATCTACGGCCTATGGACATTATCTTAGCTCATGTAACTCCAAATTCTGCATGCAGTTTATGGACGTATCACAGCTCATGCATCCTCTAACTCTCGCCTCTGACTGATGGACATTATCACATCTCGTGTGGCTCCCATATTTGGCATTTTACAGTCTACAAACATTATCATAGCCCACGTAGCTCCTTGTTAGCATCAATTTTTTATGTCACGAATATTGGATGCCTCTGTGATGTTGTGATAGCGAGTGTCGTCCGCATGTGCCCTACCGTAGCTCAAGGAATTCATTGGGAGTGTTACCAAATGCATGCAGTGTCCAGATTAGGGTCATCCTATCCTGGTCATGCCCAATATCTACTACCACTGATCCATAACAATTCACCATTCTTGGGGCAAGCCGAATGATCATTTTGAGGCTTGTGTGATGCATTTCAGTCATAAAGAGCTTTCTGTGTTGTGAATTGTGTTTAATGGACTCCTAGGGTGAAAAATAGCCTATAAGGAGCTGGCGTAACCATGCCCAAATCATGCGTGGCCTTGTCTAACCCCTCCCCATAAAGGTTGAGGGGGCTGCCTTTCGCCCGCGTATGAAGGTGGTGTGGCTACGCCACAAGATAGAGCCGATGACATAATTACGTCGTGAGTTGGCGTGACCACACTTGACCTCCCAACAGTCACGCAAAGACTACCTTTGGTGTTGCCATGCTGGAAGGTGGAGTATGCATGTCGCATGATAGTGAGTTTAACATAATTATGTCAGGGCGTTGGTATGACCATGTTGACACTACGGGCAGAATGATGTGACCATGCTCGAGCCCAGTGTGACAATGTCGGCCCTCCTAGGTTTCAAAATTTGGCCCCGATGGCCCTAGGGAAGTGTGCCACATAACTGAAATTTAAGATATCTCCTTGGGCTTGAGGAGATATGCAAGGGGGTGTTACATCTGTGGGATTGGCCTCATTTGGAAGGACCCATGAGCCTTCATTAACTCATTTTTAGCATAAATAAGGGGCATATTTGGGAGTTGGTTTGGATGATCAAATTTTTCCTTGGCTAAGCCCACATTTTGCTCATATCCTTCTCATTTTAGACTTGATCTAGTTAGGAGAGCTTGGGAGAGCACAAGAGAGAGCTTCATCCTCCTCTTAGAGACCTTGGAGGTGCCTTGGAGGAATTCTCTTGGAGCAAACAAATTTGAGGAAGACTTCAACTTCCCCAAGGAGAGAGTTAAGGAGTTGGTCCTCTTCTTCTTCATCTTCTTCCTCCGCTTTTCTTCCTCACCTTCTTTTTTTCTTTCTCAGCCATTCTTTGAGTGTGTGAAAAGAGCTTTTTGAGGAGAAGTGTGGCTAGCAAGGAGCAATGTGTATCTACTTCTAAGCTAAAGAAGGGCTTCATCCTAGTGTAGGGGGATTGTCAGAGCTTCGCCAGAACATCACCGGAGCTCAAAACTTCGTTGGAATGTCGTCATCTCTCCTACCACTAGGAGAGCTTCATTCTACGTGAAGAAACACGACATGAAAATCCATGTTGGTGAGGTTCCGTAAATCCATTTGCTTTTTTTTAATTAGCCCTAGGAATAGATTTTGCTAGACGTTTGTGGGTTCGGTGGCCCATACGAGGCGGGTCTGACTATCTACCTGATATCTTTCGGCTCAATTGATCACCCATTATCAAATGATCTGATTGGACGAACGATACCAATCGGCTCGGGCATATGCCTTTTAATTGGTTGGTTTTGCTGTGTCGCAGTGGGTTTTGGTTACCCACGTAGGCAAGTTTGTGGGCTGACACTAGTCGGCACGACCATATGCCTATTTATTGACCATTTATTTCCTAGAGGAAGCCCTAGTTTAGGGAACATATGCATGGTCAAATCCTTTGCAAAGCTGAGTGATTTATCATTGCAAACTCTAGACCTAAATCTTAATGGGTTGGAATCCCAATTTCCTACGGCTTTGCACTTCCAACTTTCCTTGCAGGGGTTAGAATAGTTCGATCTTGACGAATGAGAAAAGTTTTGTAGCTAGCCCATTCTACAAGATTGTGGAGGGTTTATAGGATGAAAAAAAGCTTTGTAGCTAGTTCATCCTACAAATTTTGAAGGACTTCTCCTATGAAAAATCAAAAGAAGTTCTCCACATTCCTCGATAAAGTCAGAGTCGGCTATGTCGCATATCTAATAGTTAAACCCTAGGTTCCTATTTGAGTATGTTATGGTGAGTATGGTTTGCTTTTGGGCACGGTGATTGCATTACATTGTATGTTTTGATCTTATGTATGTTGCATGGTATATTTTGCACATTGCACTTGGGTTTGACCGGCCACCACGATACAGTCAACCTCTCTTGTGGTTTTATTAGTCGACCGACCCATTATTTTTGTCTAATTAGCCACCCTAGCTTGGTCGACCGAACACCTTGGTGTGACCAACCTTCCTGACCCAGTAGACCGACCACCTTGGTCTGAATGGCCACCCCAATCAAGTCAACCGATCACCTTGGTTCAACTGACCGCCCCCGCTTAGTCGACCAATCACTTGGTCCGACTAGTCGCTTCAACCCGGTCTACTAATATCTTTGGTCCAACAAGCCGCCCGAGCCCGGTCGACCAATCACCTTGGTTTAGCCGGTCACCTTAGTCCGACTGAGCCTATTGGCTATGGTGTCTCGTGTTTGCCGCACTGGTGACCCAACGGGTCGAACAACTGACTTCACTTGCATGTTGTATGTTTTGCATGTGTATTAGTGTTGCTTTCATGATACGTTGCATAGTCATTATCACATGCTTGAGTTACATTTTGAGTGCTCATTCATACACTCCCCTTACTTAGATGATTCTCTCTAGTGAGAATCATCATTATTTTGGGTCAATGCCCCCCTTGCGACACACTCATCCACTTGGGTCAATGCCTCAATGAGCCCGCACCTTTTGAGCCAATACCTTTTTGATATGCTTGCCACTTGAGTCAATGTCCTCTTGTTGTACACTCATTCTCTTGGGTCACCACCGCCACGATACACCAGTTCTTTCGGGTCACTGCCTCCATGACACACCCATTCATTGCCTCCATGAGTTTTGGCTACTACCTCCACGACATGCCCACCCCTTTCGGGTCACTGCCTCCATGGTATATCTAGCCTTTGGGTTGTTGACTCCACGACACGCCAACTCTTTTAGGTCATTGCCTTCATGACACGCTCACCCTTTCAGGTCACTACCTCCATGGTGCCACATACCTTCGCAATATGCTTATCGGTAGCTGCCGCCCCCGTTGTTGCCCGCTGCTGCCCGGTTG